GTGTACGAGCACATAGGCAGGCTGTTACCATGGAAACAAAAAACAGCACCATTCGAGAAGGTGTGTTCTAGACCGTCTCACAACCAAAGGCTCAGCTGAGACCAAGAAGACAGATTACACAAGGTGAGGGAAACCAGAAGAGCTGAGAGCTGCAGCCAAGGAGAGTGATACAGAACAGAGAAGCAGAACCAACCAATCAAAGGACAGTGAGAACAATGAGGGATTAGTTCTCAAGGAGTTCAATGTGTGAACTGTGGAAATCCAGTGTAACTGTAATCGAAAAATATCCAATAAATTCATTGATCAAATCTAGAATCCACAATTGCTAGTCATGTGTACCCCCTTACATGTGATAATAAGAAATATTAAGACCAAATATTTAAAACAATTTTTAAAAGTATTTTCTTCTCCTGCAAACTCTGAGGTGATCACAAATAATAACCCAGCCCCAAGAATAAAATTGTATTTTCACCCATTTATATATATTATATATAGTATGTTTCAGTCTAAAACCCATATCAGTGAAAACACCCTAATGGCTGACCTTGGGACCAGAACATGAGATAATGTCAGGACCATAATGCAACATAAAAATCATAATATGACAGGCAAGACAATTTTCCATGAATGGGTGTAATACATTGTCAAGGCTCAAGTTCTTACAAGAAGAGAACAGGCAAGTTCAGTATCATCTTTTCAGAAATTATTTAACCCATCTTAAAGGTAACTATCCCTGTAACAGGCCGTGGAGGCCCATAGGGTTGTGAGATGTCGAGGCTCCCACATTTTGTAGACAATCACCTCACAGATGGCGGTGAGGTTAAGTAAAGCTATCTCTGTAACAGGCTGTGGAGGCCCATAGGCTTGTGCAACGTAGAGGCTCCCACATTTTCTAGACAACTGACTCACAGATGGCGGTGAGGTTAAGTAAAGCTATCCCTGTAAGAGGCCGTGGAAGCCCATAGGGTTGTGAGACGTTGAGGATCCCACATTTTCAAGATAATTGGCTCACAGATGGTGGTGAGGTTAAGTAAAGCTATCCCTGTAACAGGCCGTGGAGGCCCATAGGGTTGTGCAACATAGAGGCTCCCACATTTTCTAGACAATTGACTCACAGATGGCGGTGAGGTTAAGTAAAGCTATCTCTGTAAGAGGCCCATAGAGTTGTGCAACATAGAGGCTCCCACATTTTCTAGACAACTGACTCACAGATGGCGGTGAGGTTAAGTAGAGCTATCCCTGTAAGAGGCCCATAGAGTTGTGAGACGTTGAGGAACCCACATTTTCTAGACAATCGGCTCACAGATTTCGGTGAGGTTAAGTAAAGCTATCCCTGTAAGAGGCTGTGGAGGCCCATAGGGTTGTGAGATGTCGAGGCTTTCACATTTTCTATACAATTGGCTCACAGATGACGGTGAGTTTAAGTAAAGCTATCCCTGTAACAGGCCATGGAGGCCCATAGGGTTATGAGACGTCGAGGCTCCTACATTCTCTAGACAATTGACTCACAGATGGCGGTGAGGTTAAGCAAAGCTGTCCCTGTAACAGGCCATGGAGACCCATAGGGTTGTGAGACGTCAAGGATCCCACATTTTCTAGGCAATCGACTCACAGATGGCGGTGAGGTTGGCAGCCTTATGCACAGGCTGCCCTTTAGTCCCACGAAGATTCCTGGTACTCATTTCCGATAGAGGCTGAGTTGGCTCCAGGGCCATAGTGCAGCTGGAAGGATTAGGTGAATGGAAGAATCCAATAACATCATCAAGACTCGAACCCGCAACCTTCCAGCTTGAAGCATAGTACCTCAACCAACTTGTATATACGATATAAATAAATGACTGACTGCACTATAGACAGTACCAATGAAAGTCTTGCTCTTCCACAGTTGAGAAATTTGTATTGTGGAACAAAGTGACTTCGTTTTTTCTACACCAATTTGTAGTTTAAAAAGTGGCCTTCAAGTGAGTTTGTATGCACATATGGAGCACAAATGATTTAAATCACTATACAACTCACTACTTCCAAGCCTTTATTAATTTTTACACCTTTCTCTAGAACAAACATAGAAGGTAAATTTTAAATTGTGGCCACCAACAACGTTCTATCTTACATGTGCTACACACATAAGCATGATACAAGGGGAATCCAATAATTATCCACAATGCAGTTGTATTTGTGTTTCTGTTGGCAGCACTGTCGTTTTGCGCAGCATCGCCATGCGTGGTTTCCTTGTCATTATTTCTGCGCATGTTTGATGTTGCTAGGTCAATTCCATCGTCATTGCCTTGCCGTTAATCATGGCTGCTCCACTTTCTGTTTGCACGAAAGAAGAGCAACGTTTGGTGATCTGGTTTTTGTGGTTGGAAGGTGTATCAGGGGCCGCAATCCATCAAAGACTTTCAGCACAATACGGGAAGTGTTTTGTCGCAACGGAGTGTCTACGAATGGATTAAAAAATTAAAAAATGGTCACACAAGTGTTACGCATGAGGGAGGAGCCGGACGACCATCCATGGCCACAAATGAGGACAGTATTGAGAGTGCACATGACATGGTTCTGTTTGACAGATGAGTTACTATTGATGAAGTGGCAAATCGTCTGCAAATTAGTCATGGTTCTGCCTACGAAATCATCCACAACAGACTTGGGTTTCATAACGTCTGTGCAAGATGGGTCCCAAAACAACTCACAGTGTTGCATAAACAAATGCGCTTGGACATCTGCCAACATTTGGATCGCCATGGTAACGAACGTGACATCTTCTTAGACAGAATCATCACTGGTGACGAAACATGGATCCATCATTGCGAGCCGGAGAGTAAACGGCAGAGTATGGAATGGAAACATCCACAACTGCCCAGCAAGAAAAAGTTCAAAAGCCAACCATCCGCAGGAAAATTGATGCTTACAGTTTTTTTGGGACTCACAAGGCCCAGTACTGGAACATTATCAGGAGAGGGGCACAACAATAAACAGTGCTCGTTACAGTGAGATGCTTACTGACAGGCTAAAACCTGCAATTCAAAGCAAACGCTGAGGACTACTGTCGAAAGGTGTTGTGTTGTTGCACGACAATGCTCGTCCACATACTGCTGCCCACACTACTGAAACCCTCCAGAAACTCAAGTTTGATGTAATGTCTCATCCTCCGTATAGTCATGATCTCGCCCCTTCTGACTACCACTTGTTTGGTCCACTCAAAGAGGCATTAAGGTGGCCGTCGATTCACCTCGGACCAAGAAGTGAAGGAAGTGCTGCATGCATGGCTCGCTGCTCAGCCAAAAACCTTCTTTTCTGAGGGCATCAGGAAGCTTGTTTAACGATGGACCAAGTGCATTGAAAAGCAAGGAGACTATGTTGAAAAATGATGTTAATGTAAAGAAAGTCATCTTCTGGGATCTGGAACCGTGTATTCTTGGTTTTAACAGACGGTTCGGAGGAACGTATGGCCTCCATCTTCAGGGCAGATGAATCCTGATGCGAATACAGAGAGCAGTAACTGCAATGCTACTGCTCTCTGTATTCGCATCGCGATTCACCTGCCCTGAAGATGGAGGCAATACGTTCCTCCAAAACGTTGGTTAAAACCAAGAATACATGGCACCAGATCCCAGAAGATGACTTTCTTCATAGTCATCGCCGTGAAAACCTCAAAACTTACGATGTTAATGTAAGTTTTCTATTTGTATTGAAATAAAATTTATAGCTACATTGCGTATAATTACTGACTTACCTATGTACATATGTTCCTTAAACAACTTTAAAATAATTGCCATGAATTAAACCAGCAAAAAATATCGTACTTAACTGTTAATGAACAACAGGAAGACAGAGCTGAATCTAATCTGGTAAGTATGAAATTAAAACATTATTTTCTGCCAACTGTAAAATTTCAAACTTTTGATGTTTTATTGTATATGCAATATTGGTGAGGCCGTTTGTGAAACTAGCAAACATAGGCTTTAGTGATGGAGAGAAAGTAATTTTCACAGATTGTGGTTAAATTGATACTGCCTTTTAACTTTGCTTCCTGTACATTCCAAATCAGACTGACCTTTATTAAACTGATGCATTATGTGATAATTTAACTCCATAATCACTAGCACATGATATTCACCTTCATAAGAAATTACTTCCTATTAACAGAACCAAGATGTTCACCACAAAACCCCATGAAATGAGAATGAAAATATTTTAAAACTCGGGGACAAAGTTGCTTGTGTCCGTGACATTCTTTAGGTCATACGTGTCCCCTGGGTAGTGCAAAATAAGCAACAAACCTGGCAAAGCTTCCCAAAAGAAAAGTGCAAACTTCTTCAAGATGCAACTTGAGTGCTCTCTATTGGGAAGCAAGAAACAAAATGAGTTAAAAGATCCAAAATGCAGCCACTGGAAACCAACCAACCATATTTTAAAACTACAGCCAACCTTTGGAATATGGTACATGAACAATTTTCAGTTTTATTGTGGACACTATTATGTGGAGCTTTATCTCCTCTCTTTCTGATGCGGCATGGTTCACAGGCCCTCTGTAATAACTTCATGCATTCATCAATGGCTCTACAGCCTTTTGTTGAGCCCTGGCCACTTTTGCAGCTTTGCAATCCTACAGACAGTTGGTAGGACTCCTTGGATGGGTGATCAGCCAGTCACAAGGCAGCCGAAACACAGAATAAAGACACACAGATATCTATGCCTTGAGTGGAATTCAAACCCAAGACCCCAGTCTTTGAGCAGGCAAAGACAGTTAATGCCTTAAACTGCACAGCCACCGTGATCGGCCCTCCATAACTTCCTGTGACAATTACACATTCATCATGTATTTTTCTACAAGGCAGATTTATTATATTATTTTGTTGCTACACAACCATTGTTATCAATAAACTTTCTTTAATTTCGGTGTTTCAGAACTTCTATTAACTGGCTACATGTTATGACTGTGTATTTGGTCATCATCAGACCAAATGCATTTTCTCAAAACCCACCAATAAAAATTAAATAAAACACATAATTCTGATACAGATATTTTACTTCAAAACAGATTTACATTCATTACTTACTTACTGCACATAACATATTAAAATTAAATGTTTCCCGTCATGCTTAACCCTTTGCTTTGCCTAATATAACAATGGTAAACTAATGGACTCCTCCCCTTCCAAGGTCATAAAGTGCAGGCCAGCACAAGCTGAGGCAGCCTACTCCTGGTGGTTTGTTGCTTTGTTTACTCTTCAACCCTGAAGATGGAGGCAATATGTCTCTTCAAAATGTCAGACTTTCTCCAAACTACACGACTCAAAAGACCACGCCTTTCAAACGCTGTTCTATTATGTTATGAATCCAATAATTTCTTCCAGACATTGCAATACAGTGGTCATGTTTGGACGTTTCCGCTTGTTGTCCTCAATACAATTCAGTGCAACTGTGTAGAGGCTGACTGCCACACTGGGCCCTTCCTTGCATCCAGTATCATGAGACTGGCCCCAGTCTCCAGCCTGCTTGTCCAGTAACATATTAATGGAGTCAGTTTCCTCACACATGGCTTCAACATGAGTAACCTGAAACACACGACTGTTAAGACTGCACCATGCAACAAGCAAGACTCAAATCATAATTCAGACATGTGATCTACATACCAGATCATGACCCTCCCGTCCATCATCATATGGAGGCAATCCTGTAAGAAGTTCCAACAGCACCTGAAACAGCATGTACCATATTATTAAGAGTATTCACTAACTTTATGGTTTTATTCAATTAACATTTCATCCAAAAATTAAACACATAACAGAAATAACAAAGATAACAAAAATTGTGCATTTAAAATCACAGTATTCTCTTGGATTAAATTTGAAAACTTTGGTTAACAGAATCCTATGTAGCCCATGTGTTATCTGTTGAGTGCCTCCAGGTAGGGTCACAATGACCCCTCTGGCCTCTGTCCACTCAGGAAAGGCTGCAGACACAATTTTTTAGGCGGAGGCAGCTATACAGCAAATTCTGTTACTGGAGATGTTGTTCTTATGGAATGATGGTTTATAAAGGTAAACTGAAAAGGTCTCTAAACCATGGGACAGAGCCTGGGAAGAGAAATCTGCATACAGATGTGACCACGAATTGATCTCAGGACCCTCCTGCATTCAGTACCATCCTACAGCACTGCCCAGTTGGTCAGTGAGATTCACACACCAGTTACTATAATACAAAATGGTAATGAACATTCTCCTGGAAAGATAATCTCAAATGAACAGAAAAAAATACTGGCAGTCTTCATTTGAATTCTGATATACACTCAACTCTCGATTATCCGGGGGGTGGCTTAACCGGGGCTTTTTTGAGGCTTATATGTTGTTTAATATTCATTCACTTTTGTTTCACATGGTGAGTTGTAACACTATTTTCGCACTAGTGTGAACCGAGCTCAGCATTTTTTCGTCCCGTTATACTAACACAATGTTCTAGGGTAGGGGTGAAAGAATGCAAGGATTTGTGGAAAGTTTCAAGGACAGATATACTGGCCCAATTAGTCTCTTTGTATCGATCTTCAAGTGCGTTAGCAAATGTCAGGGTGTAAAAGGAAGCGTGTTGTGGTAAGTATTCAACAGTAACTCATATGAGCCGGGCTTCGAAATGTTAACCAGTGACGAAATCGTAAGTTCAGTGGGGGTGCAGTCAGAAGAGCGGAAAGAAAGTGAGAATGAGGAAGAGGTGGACAGTGCTGCTAGTAAGAAAGTATCACATGGTGCTGCTCTTAATCATTTGGAATCCTTACTAGACTATCTTGAGAGTGAAGAGAAGAGTTTTTAAGTGACAAGCTAATATTACGTAGGCTTCGTACAGATATCTGTAAAAAGGAAAATGCGGCGAAAAAGCAAACGACAATATTAAATTTTTTAAGTGTTAAGTGTGAATATTTGTAAAAAGTGTTGGATGTTGTTGAACAATGTGACTGAAATAACTAATTCATACTTCAGTGTAATGTAAAAAAGTATTAAATGGGCCATGAGATGACATAAAAATGAGATTGAATAAATTTAAATACAGGTAGGCATATAGTATTATGAAGGTACAGTATTACAATACTACTTTTAATAAAATTTGTCTTAACTGGGTTTTCGATTAATCGTGATTTCCATCCCCACCATTATCCCGGATAATCGAGAGTTGAGTGTATTACAATCAACAGTATTAAATATATACAGTAAAACCTGTCTTAAACAGAATCTCAAGGGTCCAGAATATTTTTTCTGCTGAAGCCAGGTTTCCATTCAATCAAGGTATACTATAATAATTAAACCAGGACATGCACATATTTAAGACAAAATAAAACACCAGACTCATTAATTTATTCACACTATAATCATTGAACACATGCGAAAAGTAAAATGAACAGAAAAAAAACTGCAGTACTCACTTTTTATAATTTTACCAGAACTCAAGCAGAGTTTTTTGCTCACAGTTTACTCTCTTGGCTGCCTGACTTTCCACAAACACTTTAGCTTGAGAAATTGGAGTAAGCATGTCTGAATCATTGCATTGCATGGCAAACTCCTGCAGTACCTTTAAACTGTTGGCAGCATCCTGATAAGTCTTCACTCTACACTTTTCTTCTTCTATCACAATGTCATTTTCTTCTTCTTCCTCTTCCTCCTCCTCTCTTCCTTTTTGACTTTCTCTATAATTCTGAACTACTGCATTGATATCCATTGTCTCCCCCACACTAGTTCATTAACGTCTTCATTTGCAGTTTTCTTAAGTTCTCTTTTTATTTTTCATTCGCACAATTTTCACAACACTTCAAAATTTCCATTTTCTTCTTTAGAATCTCATACACTTGAGTTTTACCGACGTTGAACATCTTCATGATCTGCTTAACAGACAATTTATCTCGCTCACTTGCATGAATCACTTTTACTCTTGTGTTAAGATCAAGCACAACTCATCTTTGTAGCCACGATAACTGCTAGACTAAAGTAAAAATGTAGGCCTAGAGCCCTTACTGAGTAAAATTTCCAGAAGGGGCAAAGAGTTCAGTTGCACTTCAGTGCAGGTAGTGCAGTACTGTTAAAAGCTGAATTGAAAGAGTCAGAGAAAACAAAATTCTGTAGAATGTACAGGATGCTTAAAATTCTTCTACACGATACACTCCGGAATACTGGAAATTTTCTGTATGAAGGATTATTTTGATTCCCGTTTCTGCATTAGACAGTTTCTGTTTAATCCAGGATACTTAACATCTCTTTCAGCCCCAAAGTCATGGGACCTGAATATATTTCCATTTAAGACAAATTCTGTTTAATAAAGGGTCCATTTAAGGCAGGTTTTACTATATATATATAATCTGACTTGTGCTTGAACCAATTGGATTGTTGGTTCTTATAAACCCTATTCAATCAACTCTCATCCCCACAAGCGGTCTCTGCATCTCTTTCTTGGACAATCTATATTTCTACTGCCCACAGGTTTGTACTACAATATTAAGTTCCAAAGTTCATTCCATATGCCTTCCCCAGTCTTCCTTGCGATCACCTATCTCCCGACAACAGTCTCTTTCCTTTGTATCTGTACACCTAATTTGACTTACCCATTACAGATATTCGTAACACTAAAAGTGGAGACCTGCTGGGATCCACATACCACAATCATTACTACATCCAGTTATCTGGTAGCCATACATCTGCCAAAAGTTATGATTAGGGCTCGGATTTCTATGACATGTCATATTTCTATCCTGGCATCTTTTCACATGTATAATTAAATATAAACGCATTTCTGACTCTTGTGAACATGAAAATACGGTTTTTATTGGTCATACAAATGCATATTTGAACCATATTTTAGCTTTAGGTCATATTTGGGCCTGAAGTGATATAAAATCATATTTGTGGTCATATTTTAGGCGAGTTTCACTTATTGCTCAGAAATATATTTGCAAGTATTGGCAACGATGTTATTTGGAACTTCACTTCTTAGAAATATTTGGCCTTGTGTAACGGGATTTGAAGGAATACTGTACAGTGTGAAGGGTAACGGTTCCTGACCTGGCGTAGAATCAACCACTTTGAAAAGAGAAATTGCCACATCTGCCTCTGTCTGTCTGTGTCTCTTTTTCTCCTCCACTGCAGTGATATCTGAAGTCCAGTTTGTTTCTTGCATATTGGTGAAAAATTTTTCCATCCACAAAGTGGTAAATTTCTACCCTCTCCCGAAACCCGTCCAATACAGTACTGTATTCATAACTTCAGTTGTTCAGTATAGTTTCAAGATACCTAAAGTCAATTGCTCTAATAGCGTGAAGTTGTGTGGTTTTATTAAAGAGTTTGGTGACAAATATTTTAGTACTGACAGAGAAATTTTATTCTGCAAAATGTGTGAAGTGAAAGTTACGGCTGACAAACGTTTTACGGTGCAACAACACTGCAATACAGCTAAACATAGAAGCTGTGTAAACAGAGAAATTACCACGGAAAGTAAACAGCGATTGTTGTTTGAAAAGTCATCCTCCAGTTCACCGAAATCAGGAAATGCCTCCGAGTTTTCAAAGGATCTTTGTACTATGATGGTTTCATCAAATATTCCATTACATAAAGTAGATACACCTAGTTTCTGAAACTTCCTCAAAAAATATATAACTCATCCCATTCCGACCGAATCCACATTAAGAAAGAACTATCTCACTTCCTGCTACGATGTTACCACCAATAAAATAAGAAACTGTGTCGGAAATAATAAAATATGGGTGTCTATCGACGAAACTACTGACATAAGTGGTAGATTTGTAGCGAATGTTGTTGTTGGTACACTGAAAGATGACCAGCCTCGAGATATATTCCTATTGGCATGTGAGGTGTTGGAAAAAGTGAATAATTCTTCCATTGCCGTTGTTTTCGGCAATGCGATGAATTTGCTGTGGCCAAATAAGGTAGAATGAGAGAATGTGTTCCTCTTAACGGATGCCGCTCCATATATGGTAAAGGCAGCAAAGGGACTTCAGGTACTGTATCCCAAAATGATTCATGCAACGTGTCTCGCACATGCTCTGCATAGGGTAGCAGAAGAGGTGCAAGAGAGCTACTTTGATGTAGATGAATTAATAGCAAATGGGAAGAAAATTTTTGTTAAGGCTCCACTTCGATTGCAGAAGTTTAAAGAAGAAGCTCCATCACTACCCCTTCCCCTTAAGCCTATTCTAACACGATGGGGGACTTGGCTCGATGCTGGAGATTATTATTGCACACTCTATAGTGTGATTGAAAATATCTTCATGAAGTTTGACAGAGATGATTCATCTTCAATTCGAACCTTACAAAACTTGTTTTCATCAACCACGTCAAGAAATCTAGCGTACATAAAATCAAATTTCAGTGTGATATCAAAATCCATCATTAGACTTGAAGCTGTGGGCATGCAACTGTGCAATGCATTACAAATTGTTAAGAAAGTTGAAAGTGAACTACATCAAGCACAGGGCAAAGTTGTTGTGAAAATTAGTGCAAAATTACAAAATGTGCTCCAACGAAATCCTGGATATTCAACACTGTGTACAGTTTCTGACATTCTTTGCGGCAAAAAAAGTTAAATTTGACAAGAGTGAATTAGAACTTGACGCAAGTGATTTGACTTGTTTTAAGTATGCCCCTGTGACATCTTGCGACGTAGAAAGGAGTTTCTCCAAATACAAGGCCATTGTTAGTGACAATCGGAGGTCCTTCAAGTTCGAGAAATGAAAATGCATGTTGTCATTCAGTGCAACTCTACTGAAAAGGAAGATTAAGGTACCGTACAAATTGTTTACCTGCAACTATTAGCACACTTTAATCTTCACGCTAAAATAAACAATACTTTCGTTCATGTTTTCTCTTTACAGGGTCAGCATTGTGTTGTGATGGATGCTTCACGGCTTAAAGACATTTATTCAGAAAAAATAACTTTGTACACTTTTCAATAAAACGCCATTCAGCTTTTCTCTTTATGGGGTCAGCAATGTGCTGTGATCGATGCTTCAGAGCTTAAAGATATTTATTCAGGACAAAATAACTTTGTAAACTTCTTAATAAGTTGCCTTTCTTAGGAATTTTTGTTAAATACTTACTTCTTTTTGTGGGCCATTCTGTCATATTTTGCCATTTTTAGGGCATAAATGCATGGATATTTTCAAGGTTTTCAGGTCATAGAAATCCGAGCCTTAGTTATGATACACATTTACTCGCCATTACAGTAATCAGCAGCTGAATTTGTGATCACATTACAGAAAATCTGATATCTTTCTCCCTTCAATCTGCTATGCCACCTAAAGAGCCTCCCACGCAAGCATTACCACAAAAACATGTTGGTCTGTTGTTGAAACAGAAAAATGGAAACAACTGAAGGCCAGAAAAGGGTGAAAATCACAATGCTCTCATGCAGATGACAGATTTGTATAACCGGCTCACCCCACTGTCCCATTCTCCTGGAGCATTTTACACTTAAATGACTTTCATACAAGGGGTGTACACCTATCTATCACAACTCCATGATCTGTAGTCTGCAAGCGAACTATACTGACCAAGCAACCCCCACTTGTTGGCAAAGTTAGTGCCAACTTTTGCGGATAGAGGGAGTCACAACTATCTATCATAATAATAACAAAACAAAAAATAAGCATCATTTTCACACAGAACAGTTACTTTGTAATAAAAATTATTGTTTACTAATTACTATGTATTATTTTTTATTGCTAGTGGGGTGGGACTAAGTTCCTTGTACTGCGGCCACTTCTGGCCTGTTGTACCAGCCCGATGATAGGTGAGGGTGATTGTGGAGCAATTGGTGGAATGAAGATTGGCAGGGGAAACTGTAGTACTCGGAGAAAACCTGCCCCAGTGCCATTTTGTCCACCACAAATCCCACTTGACAAGACCCGGGATCGAACCCGGGCCCCCGCGGTGGGATCTAGCGACTAACCACTTGAGCTATGGAGTGGCCAATTACTATGTAACTCTCCTTGCTTAAGCACCTCCCTCTAGGATTTCTGCTGTCTCTGATTCCTGCCAGGAGGGAAGCTCTGAGTACAGCATGGAGTATACTGACATTTCTGACTGGGAACATTTACAAAGCCATACATTAAAACCACAGAGAAGTGCAGAAAACTTTATGAATTGAGTAATAATTTCAGAATTACTTTAAACCTGATTTTGTCACCTCTGCATTTAGGGGCCAATTCTTCTAATTCTATTAACATTTTAAAGGAAAACATCACTTCTACTTTTATGGGCAACAAATCCCTGAATTTTTACTCTGGACACTCTGCAGTGTAACAAAAACAGGTAGCTACAAGCAATTTGTCTCATGTCATACGGGACAGCGTGTGAATGGGATAAAAAGCAGAGTATTTCTTGACTGACTGGGCAACTATTAGATTCTCAAGACAGTAAAAAAACTGCAGATTAGTTTTAACACCTCAGTTTCCCGTGCACAAAAGCAATCAGAAAACATTTTAAAAATTCCTCCATTTAGTCTCAAATCTGATGTCTGTTGATTTCATCTCAGATAACTGCATCATGAAATATCAGCACTGCACTTTTGTCAAAGATGCAAGCATAGAGATACAACAAAACCTTGGGTATATTGAGAGTTTAACTTTCCCATACTAGGAACAACTACACAGTTTGTCCAGGATCTGTTAGAACTCGTTTCTTTTAATTTTGCCCTGCAATGCCATCTGTTGGTGAGTTGTGGTGTTAAGATTCTTGAAGTTTCAGCTGTGCCTGTCTGTAATTTCAAAGTGCAAGCATAGCTGCATCATGAGTTCTGACTTTGAATGTAACAGTACTGTTCTGAAGCTCATCAGATAATGGCAGTTGAACAGAGAGCCAACATCAAATTTTGTTTGAAGTTAGGCAAAACAGCCAGAAAAGCGTATGAAATGATGAAAATTGTGAACGGTAGTGATTGTTTGAGTCACGTGAACATTTTTCTATGGTATGCTGTATTTCGTGACGGCAGGGAGAACACTGAAGACACTCCACGTGCATCAAAGCTGAGAACAAGTCACACTGAAGAAAATGTGAAAAAAGTGACCGAAATCCTTGCATCAGACAGATGTGTTTCTGCAAGAATCATCAAGGAGCTTTTGGGAATACCAAAAAGTACTGTGCATCGAAATTTGACCGAGGATTTGGGCAAATGGAAGGTCTGTGCGCGATTTGTACCGCATGCTCTGTCAGGCGATGAAAAACATGCCAGAGTGGAACACTGCAAAGACATGTTATGGTCAGCCCAAAGTGATACAAAATTTACAAAATCGATTGTTACTGGTGATGAGACATGGTGCTTTCAATATGAGCCTCTCACAAAGCGGCAGAGTGCAGCGTGGTTGAGCCCAAAGAAGCCAAAACCAAAGAAAGTGTGCATGCAAAAGAGTCAAGTAAAGACACGGCTAACCGTTTTCTTCAATTCCAAAGGAATCATTCACAAGGAATTTCTGCCAGAAGGTCAAACAGTGAATTCTGATTATTATCTCGGAGTCCTCAATCGTTTGTGGGCGAGAATTCTTCGAATTTGACCTGAATATTGAGAGCAAGGTTCCTGGTCGCTCCTCCACGACAGTGCTCCATCCCACAAATTGAATATTGTGAGCGATTTTTTGGGCAGAAAAGGGATCACAGTCCGTGATCATCCTCCGTATTCACCAGATTTGGCTCCAGCAGATTTCTGATTGTTCCCAAAAATTAAGTTGGCAATGAAAGGAGACCGTCGCGACAGCATCCAGGACATCCAAAGGGAATGTACCACAGTTTTAAATGTGATTCCACAAAAGGAGTACAGTGAGCGTTTTTAAAAACTTTTCAATCAGTTCCAACTATGTATTGATTCAGAAGCAGACGATTCTGAATAAAGAGAGTGAAATTTTGAAAATAATTCACGTCTTGTATTTTTAATGAACACAGTCCTAACAGAACAGGGACACATTGTGTATTTTTAAATAACAGCTAACTTACAACGCCAAAGCTGAAGGTATCAAGTTTGACAGAGACATCTCCTCTGAAAGCTTCTGGTGCCATGTATGCAGACGTACCCAGCACAGTTGTTGTCGGCATCGTCATACTGTTGCTCTGCTGTCCAAGACGTACTAATCCAAAGTCGCCCAGCTGATGAAGAAAAATTACATCAACTATACGCTCTGCAGAAAATTCCATTGCGTTTCACAGGAAACTGCATAATACAGGCTGCTACTGATCAATACACTGACTGAATGATACTATGGGTAGTTAAGATGCAGCCACTTACTGTCTTATATGTCTTACTCATATATTCAAAGTAATATGGTAATTCCAAGCATTATATGTACATATTAATTAATCTTCTCTCATCATGAACAAAATACAGTGGAACTTTTTAATATACCTGATGAAGATCATGCATGGCCAAAACATGCTGTGAACATAATACAATAGTGAAGCACAATTAGATGACCACTGAACATTAACAAAAACTGTAAGAAAAGATGGAACTGCAAACAGTGAAATTAATTGACAACTAAAACAGGATGCTGAAATACAGTATTACTTAAAAAATCAAAGAATCAGTGTTGCCAGTTTCCCATGGATACATATTAGAAGGCCAACGAAGTTTGGATTGGTGCAGAAAATGACTGTAAAAAAGAAAGGGACTTAATAAATGCAATGTATAACACGCTTTTAAATGTTTACTGTCTTTCATATGATTGACTACAGTAACCGTATAAAACTGATACCTGAGATTCACACAGCAGTGAATATTAAAATTACAGTCATCTGTAATGCAAAGCTGTACAGTTTCATAAATTCCTGTTGCTCCAACTTCAGGGTGTGCATGTAGACCCACTGCCAAGTAACAGCTGCATAAACAGGTGACAGTGCAACAGCTGTTGCTTGGGAACAGCTCTGAGGACATGCTGTTTCCCCAGCAACAAGGGAACATGAAATAATGGAAGAGATATTTTCTGTGTGGCCCATGCCAGGGCTCTATAACAAGGACTAATGGAGTCAGTTGAGAGCTGGAGTTGTAAGAAGTGAGAAGCTGGTAGTTGAGGCTGGGGACAGTCCGGGAACCCAGAGGAAGGGAAATGTCCGCTGCTGGAAGCTGCTACCAAGCAACGGCTAGTGAAGACTGAGAAGACTTTATGTGTGCTGTAGTCACAGTCATCTTCAGAGTGTGTAACCCCATGAGACTGTCATAGTTATTTGTAGTTACAAGTGTAAGCGTCCAACAAATCCAGTTACCAATCCAAACACAATCTCTAGCCACACCACATGAAAATATAATCATATTTTCTACGCTGACACACTTTTTAGCATGGAGCCATGTCACATTCAGACACCTCCCGTCCAGGTAACACAATGCCTGCAGATCCTCTCTCCATTACAACCAACATTTTGTGTCAGCGCACCTTGGGTACCATCTGGTGGTCCAGGAGTATGTTGGCACTCTTGATATCTCTGTGGATCAGAGGTTTCTCAAATGTCGTGTGAAGGTGCACAATACCTCGTGCTGTGTCCACACCAATGCTGAGACGGGTCCGCCACTGTAATGCTGTTTCCTGATCCTGGGTGTAAAACAAGTGAAACAGAAATACTATTACTGTATCTTCACTTCTGTCTGCAGGGATGGAAAGGGAGGAGAGAGAGAGAGAGGGAGTGTGTGTGTGATACTACCACTGGGCAATGGGGTGCTTGCATCTAGCAAAACAAACTAAAAGACATGTGTTCTAGGCAATTAATAACCCTCTGAAGTATGAAGCTCATCTAAATAATACAGCAAAACACCTTTTGTAGGTTTCTCTGGGAAGTAGTGGACTTGAGCACTGGGAAATCTTAAACAGAGGAAACACAACATTGAGGTTTTCTTGACTGGGTAACATTAAATTTGGTGAGAGACAGGAGGCTGGGNGGGGGGGGGGGGGGCTCCAGAGCTGCTCTGGATGCTGTGAAGAAGAGGAAAATCTCTTGTCCCTTCCAGAAATCAAACCCTGGCTGTTCACCCTGTAGCCAGTCACTTATACTGAGCTATCCTGGCTCACCCCCCACCCCCCAATATACAGTGCGTACAATCAAGTGCGTGCCGCGGCTGCAATTTGCCGTGAGTCATACCACCGCAGAACGGATGCAACTCCTCCCCGCGACTGCAGTGCCGTTCCCCGATAGCGTGAGTGTAGTGGTGTCGCTGAGTCTCCGTCCATCAGTTGCTCTACATGCACACATTTATAAGAATACAGTAAAAAGATAACTTACCGTGGTTTATAACAGGTGCTGAAAGTGACCTCCTTCTGCTTGCAAACATGCCGCGCATCTCACAAATAAATTACGCGACACTCTCTGCAGTTCGTCGACGGTAATTGAATGAATTACGCGTGTAATTTCATTTTGAAGACTATCAATGCTGCGGGGATTATTTTTGTTTTGTA